CAAGCTGGCTGGGGAATTCTGGGAGTTGAAGTCCACACATCTTAAAGTTGCCAAGGTTGAGAAACACTGCATTACAGTAAGTCACTTGGTGCAGTTTGAATGGGTTCGCCTTTCCGTAGCCCAGGCTGTGCGCTCAGTGGATTGTGGATGTTGTAGTTCTAGAAGGCACGAGTTGCCGGTCCCTAGTATAAACTTGGTGACTTGCCCAGGCTTTGAAGCAGTTCCAGCGAATTGAGTGTGTGGGATCTTTGAGCCGGCCAAGTCAGATCTCCCGGCCAAGAATGTTATGTAATGTTGCTCCTGCGGCAGGAGAGGGAGTGCTAATATGGAACCGGCGGATCAGTAAAAAAGAAAAAAAAGAAAGAAAGAAAAAGGAGTGGAAAGATACTGAGCAACGGAGCCAGCCGAGGGGTCGAAGGACAGCTTTTCAGTAAAAAAAAAAAAAACTTGGAAAGGTTTGTCCAGAGCTATGTTTATCCTGGACTGTTTCTGAATAATGAATGCCAGCTTATAGCAAGCTTTTCTTTGCGGTCACAACTGCGAATTGCACGGGCCAAGCATAGGAAGAAAGACTCAAATGCATTTTGCAGGGGGGCCGTCAATTCATACCAGCGCCGGGGGGTATTAAAATAATTTGTAATGCCTTATATTAGGGCTGATCGATAAATAGGGTTCGGATTAGGGTTGATTCTGCTTCACTGCCTTTTGGAGGATCTGAGGCCTCTTGCTTGGCAGTTGAGTGTTTCCATCCGTAAGCCTGCATTGGCCATCCTCCAGAACCAGCCAGGTTTCTGAACCCAACCGGCAGCTGACCCAGGCTTGTAGAGGCCAGGTTGACAGCAAGGTAGCTTTAAACACGATTCCTACAGTCTTCTTAAAATTTAAAACCTGTACAGCAAAGGCCATGATGTACATTTGATATTTAATGTTTTGCTTCGGTTTGGTTCAGAGAGACTTTGTGGGTACTAATGTACTGCAAACTTTAATACCAGAAAGGAAACATCAAACATAGTTTGGTACTTAATGACTAATAAGATCTTTTTCATGCCACCTCCTTTACTCCGAAAGAATAATCCGCTTTCTACAGACTGATAGCAGGTTTTTCTTCTTTGTTTCAGTGTCTCTTACTCTACCCCATCAGTTCTGGAAAGTCAGCACCAAAAGCTAGTTTTCTTGTCAACTGCTGTGACACCAACAGCCTTGACAGGCCCACTGATAATACACTGTGGGAGCGTTTTACTCCTTCCAGGCCAAAGAAGTGTTGGAAATCAATTAGGAAGAGGAGCTTCATACTCTGTCTTCTGTACGTCAGCAGTGTAACTCTTCAAAACCAGAACAGATCAGGACCAAATTTGGTATGGCAGGAGAAACTGACAAAAGACATCATACAGATGTAAAAAATGGTTCAGATCTGGCTAGGGGCAGCAGAGAGAGAGAACAAATTCTCCCAGGAGAACCTATGGAAGAGGCTATTGGACAGTGGCTACAGATGTTGCTGACTGCTCCATACTAAGCCCCCTCTTCCTTACTGGTCACATGACCCAGGACTCTTAAGGGCTTGGAAGGAATTCCGGAAACCATACTCTGCAGGATTTCCCTGGCTTGTTTTTTAGGAGTAGTGTGAATTGGTTGGATTGAACCTCATTTAGAACCTCATAACTATAGGAGTATAGTTATCCTTACTTAATGCTGGTCTAAATGACTATACCTGATGTTGGCCACTGCAGGTAGCATAGCTCGCTGGGGCTCTCAGTCAAAGACTCTGCTTCTTTCCGATCTCTTTTCAGTTGTAAAATCTTCAGTTTGTTCCATTCTTTTCACATTTGTGAGTTTTGTTGTATTCTTACTAGTGAAATTCTCGCCCATCTGCCCTGGATATAGTCACCTGCTACAATTATTCCCAGTCTAGGAAGGACAATGTTGAGTCCTTTGATCATGTCAAAAGAGGAGCCATTAGGGGGGAAAACATGACCACCTTCTCCATCACCATAATCAGGGGTGAACATCTGGAGAGTCCAAACACAGACTTTCAAGCGCTAACCACTTACCAATCTGTTGGATAAATCTGTCAGTTCTGTTTTTTCCCACTTTTGTGTTTGTTGGTTAACTCTCAAGTTCTTCCTGACTCAGACATATGTCAGTTTGGGGAAGTTCTTATTTAAAGAAAGGAACTGAGTGAAATTGCCACCCTTTTTTAAAGAGGCAATGATTTCGTACACGAGGTGGCTCCTGAGTCTGAGGAAACCTCTGTGTCTAAGCAGACCTTATTTTGCAACATGTGTGAAGAATATGCAAAGTCATCTTCCAGCAGAAGTGTATCCTCCACCTCCTTTGAGTAGCAACTGAACTCTAGCCTTGAATGCATTTCTAACAATAATATTCCTACTTAGCATACCTGTATCTAGTTTGGTTCTCTCTGGATATGTCAGATCACAGTTCCATAATTCCCAGTTGGCGTGGTCATGCTGGCTGGAGATATAATTCAACATACCTGGACAATACCAGATGGAGGATAGCAGTTGACCAGTTATGGATGTGAGAACAAGTGCAATACCCAGAATTTGAGGAAGAAGACCGGTTTTTCTTCTGTGTGGTTCATTTAGATGTCCGAAAGCAGTTCCTATTTTTTTTAGACTACGTTACAGTCATGTAATTGAGATGTTTCCAGTAATTTCTTCTGAGGTTTCTGTAAGAGAATTGTTCTTGTTTTTGTAGACAATCTCTTATGTTGCATTGTGGGGTGTATTATCTACAATACAGATAGATAGTACTTGTATCTGTTTTTATGGAGAACATCATCACCTGCAATTGCGGTGTGGGAAACATCAAGTATAAATATTTTAGCTAAAATAAATAATAGAAATAAAGATAGGGAAAACCTAAGGAAACCTGATCCCTGTAAATTCTGCAGTTGTTGAATATTTGCTAAGCTCTTGTATTTGATAAGCTGCATTCTAATTCAGTAGTTAATCATTGATACACAATTTGACAATATCGGTGGTGCTGTTTAGCGCTTTTCTTCAGTTGATGCACTCCAAACAACCTTGCCATCTGGGGATGGTGGGAATCATTACCCAGTGCAAATATTGGCCCCCCCCCCCCGATGCTTGAGGGTGTTGGCAACAATATACCCCCA